TAGACCTTAAAAGGCATTCGGAGCAATCAGGACCTCGCGTTGATACGAGCAGTCTTGTTTTGTTGTTCAATAGAATAGAGTTAACGTTTGAAAAGTGAATCCTGCTCAACAGACAGCAAAGGGACACCAGTGTCTTTCAAATGCATATCATGCAATTTTTCTTGCAAGAAGATACATAATTGTTGCATTTTTCTTTCAAGATTCTCGCAAGGTTTGCACTCATCTCGCCAGATTCTAATCAGCAGGGAGCACTGATTCACGCGCAATATTCCTCTCGTGCTGGATGTAAGCGCAGCAGAGCGAAGCGGAGCAAACGTATTCTCATTGCAAATGCTTTGTTACGAATTGTCGATTGTTACAAATTGTCGTCTGTTACGAATTGTCACCTGATACGAATTGTCGCCCTACCAAGATTTACAGTTATTTAACAAGAAATCAGCGAGATTTGCATTCAGAGTTCACTACGTTCGGTTTTGAAAGCAGACTTATAGTGACAACGTAATTGCATCAAGTTCCTTAATCCCTGAAGTGGTTTTGCCCGATAACCGCTGAAAACTAGAGATTTAAACTTAAATTACTTGTGGGCAAAGAAATAGGCTTTATCAAAGTTGACTGGTTAATTTAAATCATCAACTGTACTTAAGTCACTTTCGATACTAGTTTTAGCACTCAATAGTTAGCTGGAAATTCGCATAAAATGTTCAAATCAATCGCCAAGCATGAAAAAATGCACCTACGAAGTTTTTTATGGAAAGCTTTTGAATCGAAGTTTGAACAGCTTGATTTCGCATAAATTTTGTACATCTTATTTAGCAGTTTTTTTTCTGAAATTGCTTTCCGCTTAATATAAGTTGAACCTGGCCTAAATCCTCTCTTCGAAAGCATTTCCATAAGTGGAAACTTGCGATACCTCAAAAAGAAAAATTGAGAGTAAATTCCGACCAGAAAGCTCTGAAAAAAAACAAATACACAGATCGTTGATTTCTGGAATTGATTAGTTTACCCAAAAAACAAAGTTCCATTATTTGTTTAATTAAGTTTTCATAATTAATAATCATAAAAAATAGTGAATCGTTTTTCGGCTTGCAATACCTAAATACATTTGAAAATACATTTTACAACCCTTGTCAAGCCTGATAGAATGAATTGAATAAATTTGAAAGAAGAGTTATAAATAAAGGTCTCTGATTGTTGTAATATTTGATTGCAATAGCCATGTGTTAAAAGTGGTGTCGGGCGGAGTTGAACTGATGGCAGATTAGAGGGGGATCAGACCCCGCAGCTTCCATCTTCACCTATGGGTCCCAAGAGACATCTATATTTGCATGTGTTTCCTCAACCCCAATTGTTTCACTCCCAAATTGCATTAATTCTATGGTACACTACTCCCATTTTTCTAATCTCACAATTCTCCCCCTATTACCATTAGCACCTTTGAAAAGCTACGGCAGCAATATCCAAATCTCAATTAGCCCTGCTAATTGCAGCTCATAAATTTATTCTTCCCATTATTATTTTTTTAATTTTTATGATTTCTGTGTGTCAAAATTAGAACTTTGAAATTGGCTTTTTTTACCTCATCTAAACCCTCAGATGAGCGCAGAAAAAAATGAACCTTTTCAAAATTTATTAATCGTATTTGTTATAAATTTCGAGGCTACTTCCAATATAAAAAATATCAATGCATCCACTTCATCAACTTCACTTGGACGGTTTCCACAGACATGGAGGTAATTAAATTTTTGTCAAGTTCGTTGATAATTCCCCCCATGAGTGTTGCACGAGACAGTTACGTTTTATCAGGAGTAACTCTGTGTTTTGATTGCTATTTTTTCAACAAGTTTCTCCAATTTGCGAAGAAAAGTACTATTTATGAGAAAAATTTAGTTTTTCTCCAGAAACTTTTATGTTGAAACTTTTTTTCTGATTTTTTATGCCATGGCTTAGCTGTATTTGTTTCTGCTCCGACTTTTGACAAAAGGTTCATTGAAGCCAGAAAATGAGTCCGTTCAAAAACGTTTCAGGTTATGAAAAACATATGATATACAATGATTCTGTTCCTTCGAACATTTTATTACAGAAGCAAAGAAGAACTTGGCACTACTTGCGATACAAAAATGAATAACTATCACTACTTGCAGATGTACCGAAAAATCGAAAAATAAAAAAATTTTGAAAAACTTTTTTTCTCAAAAAAACATAAGAACTTACAAAAGTTATCAAAGAAATCCAAGATAACGAAACTAAGTTGCCTGCAACTTCGCATTTCTTGTGATACAACATATGCATAGCTTGGTGAACTAACCACCAGAATTAGAAAGGAAAACTGTCAATTTTTTTTTACAATTGTCTTTATTTTCTCTTTTAAAAATTTTTCTTTTCAGAAATTGTGCGCAAAATAAGTACAATCGTTTGCTAAATGTAAGCATTGAAGGAAAACTTCTAAAGCGGTAATAAGTCAACAATTCT